TTAGGGGACAGCAGCAGGAAGGAGTACCCTGAGCACTGGAGTGGGTGATGATGGTGATGATGATGATGATGATGACAAAGGGGCCACTAGCCCGAAACCAGCTCTGCACATCCACAGAAATGGTACTGGGCGTCTGTGGGGTGTTTTTAAGGGAGGGGGCAGCAATGATGGTGTCTTCTTAAACAACAGACCCTGGCAGTGCGGGATGTCTCGGGCAGTTCGGAGACAAAGAGGCCAGAGAGGAGACAGGTGGTCCCAAAGTCCCCTGGGATGGGGCTCGAAACAGCCGCATCCAGCCCCCAGGCATGGCACAAAGGGGGAAGCAAAGACACTCCCTCTCCCTCCGCTGCGGCAATGTCCCCAGCTGGCACTGAGTATCAGGGATTGGGAAAAGGGGAGGGGGTGGGAGAGGAATAAATAAATAAATCAAGCTTTGGGAACACTAAATCAGTGTTAGCGGGGTCTGGGATCCCTCCCAGGACCAAGGAAAACAGAGGCTCACAGTAAGGGCTGGATGTGTGCCCAGGCTGGAGCAGGCAGGAATTAAATGCCAGCTGCTGGTGAGGCCGACGATTTGGAGGGGGCCCTCCGGGAGCAGGGACAGGCTGGGCAGAACCTCCTGTGTGCCCTGACAATGGGCACAGGGCCAGCACCCGACCTGTGCCTCACTTTCTCTGTTAGGGGTAGCTTTGTAGCTTAGTGTTGGGCTTTATAAACACAACCGTGACCCTGCAGCTTGGCGGCAGGGATGTGGGACAGCAACCCCCTACACAACTCCCAGCACCAGGGTCTGAGCTATAAAGCCTTGGGGTGATCCATGGAGGATGAGATACCTCCCCCCCAACCAAAAAAACCCCTAAAACCCAGCCATTGCCAGCCCCACTGTAGCCACGGGAAGAAACCAAGGTTAGAAAGCAACCCCTGTTCCGTGTCCCCCCACCTCCCTGGGTAACGGGTCACCCCGGGGGTCACAGCTCCAAAGTGGGGAGAGCCAGTGGGCAGGGCTGGTGCCCCCCACCCAGAGCAAGCAGGGGCTCTGCCTCTGCCCATTCCTCATTTCCCCACCACAGAAAGGGCTTCTCAAAGGGCCTGGGATTGCTGACCGGGTGTCGAGGCACAACCCGGACTTTTTGCAAGCTGGAGAAAGGAAATGAGGCCGAAAAAGGCCAAGAAGCGGAAGTAGGAGCTGCGGGCTCGCAGGGGCGAAGGGAAGTCGAGAAACATCTGAGCCATTTCATTGCGACTTCTGATTTCAGAGCTCACCCTCCCCCACTCCCAGAAAGACACATTAGAGGGTGCAGACTCCAATACAATCTGCAAAATTTGAGAGGGGGCTGCACATGCTGAGGTCACCCAGCCCTTGCTCCCCACCCAGCACCATCCCCAGCCTCCCATGCCCCTGAAGCAATACCCGAGGAAGGGACAGGGTGCAGACATCTTACCGGCAGCCGTCCCACCGAGGCTGAGCAGAGGGTCCTGAGCTCGGGGCCTTGGGGGGTGTCACAGAGGCACCGGCCCCGTGGAGCGGGGGCGCTGACAGCCGCTGGCGTGTAGAGCTGGGTGAAGCAGCCTGTGGATAACGGGGGGCTACCCAGGCTGGAAGCCCCCGGATCACAGGAGACCATCACTGACATGACCTTCTTCGGGTGGTGCTGGGGAGGGGGGGCCGGGAGGGCGGTGCCCCCCCTCCCCGGGGCCGGGGACACTCCCCCGGGGAGCCGCAGCATTGCAAAGTCCTTTCTGAGGAGCCCGGCCCGGGGAAGCGGGCAGGAGCACCCCGCGATTCCGCAGCCGGGAGGGGCGGGGGGGGGCAGCCGTGGCATTTTGGGGGAGCGGGGAGGTGTTCCGGCGGGCGATGTCACCGGCCGGTCCCCAAATTCCCCCCGAGAAACCCACAAAGAAGGCGGCGGCGATGCCGCCGAAACCGCCGGAAAATTCGCTTTTGGCCCCAAAAATCAGCCGCACTGAGGCCGAATGGGGCCGGGGCTGCCGGAGAGCGGCCCCGCTTGGGCCGAGACCCCCGTGCCCGGCTCCACTCACGCCCGATCGCGCCCGGCCCCGAGCGCTTCTTTTCTTTTTTTTTTTTTTTTTTTCCGGTTTTTTTTTTTTTTTTAAGCGCCAAAACCCGTGCCGCGAAATTCAGAATTCCCGCGGAAAACGCCGCGTGCTGATTGGCTGCCGCCGCCGCGGCCCCGCCCCTTAGCTGCGGCTGGGAGGGGCCTTAAAGCGGCCGCGGGTGGGAGGGGTCAATTTATGCAAATAAGGGGAGGGGCCCTCTTGAGACCACCTGCTGGGGGTGGGGGGGCTTTGCCTTGGGGATCCGGCCTAGAATATATTTTCTGTTACTTATTTGTTTTTCAGAAGATGCGCCCCCATCAGTCTGGTGGGGTCTGCCCTGGGGGCTGCGACCCTCCAACCCCATCATCCCGCATTCCTCACCATTCTCTTTATCTCCATCAAGCCCCAGTCCTCATCTTCTCATCCTCAGCCCACCCTTCCCATTGTTCCCCCACCCCTATCCCCAGTTACGGCAACCCAGGGTAGGGGAGAGGGAGCCGCATCTGTTGAAATAAAAATTTAATTAAAATTTAAATAAAAATTTTGGCCTCCATCAGCCAGAGGCTGTCTGGCACCTCCCCACCCTGCAGACAGTGCTGTTGGGGGAGGGCAGAGATCTCAGAGGGGCTCAGCATAAGATTTGGCCCCTGGTTCACACACAGTTCGTTCAACCTGCCGCTCATTGCTCCACATGCATCCCACCCGTGTCCTTGGAATGCACCAGGTATTTCTGACAAAGTGGAGGGAGAAAAAGGGGATGAAGGGCACCCAAGCTGCCCTACAGGGTATTTCAGAGTGCAGCAGTAACAGGAATCACTGAGGCAATGGCAAACCCCTGAGCGAGGGCAACTCTGACCCTTACTGGCACCAGTAAAAGGCCACCACAGCCACTGAGACCGGCCAGAGTTTAATTTTGCTGAGGCCACCAAGCCACAGCAGCTGGTTTCTCTTCATCCCTTTCTATCACCTTGTTTGTCTCTATCCCCTGGTTCCTCCCCATTCCCTGATTTGTCTCCATGACCTGGTTGCCTCCATCCATTCATTCTTCCCCATTGTTCTTCTCTCCATCATTCTCCTCTCCAGGAAGAGCCAACTCCATGCTCAGGTCAGGGATAAGGATAATTATGTGCAGAAATGGACTTTTGTGTGAAGAAGCCTCCTGGAATACAGACAGATGGACACATGCTGGCCATGGCCTCTGCTGTGGACGAGGAAGGACAGCAGACCTCCAGACTCCAACTCAGCTGGGAGAGACACCCAGAAATGTGCCAGGAGCCTTGGATCAAGGACAGATATTTGCCTCCCACCGTGCAAGACTCTGATGCAGAACAAAAGGCCTGGCAGCAGCAATGCTACCCCAGCTGGGCAGTGCAGCCCCTGTGCCAGCAGTGTGGCCGAGCTTGGCAAATCAATCCACCCAGACCTTCTTCTTCCTCTCTGTGGGAAGAAGGCAACTGCTGTCCCGATCCCAGTGCACAAAGACAAGGCCACGACCAGCAGAGTGGATAAATTTGTGTCATTTGTGTCATGTCTTGGGCTTGCTCCAGTGGGTGACCCGTGGGATAAGGACATTGGGGTATTGGGTGGGCCTGGCAACTTGTGTCCTCAACTCCCCCACTTTAGACAAAGCAGAGGTGATGTCCCCACGTGTTGCTAGTGTGACCTCACCTGGGTAAGGGCTGCCCCAGAAGGTGGGAAAACTTGTTGGCCCTCATCCCCTCAGCTGTGCTGAGGGAGGAGTCAAGGGCATGTTTCCCAAGCCTTTTCCAGCCTTTCCAGCTATGGCTTTCCACCAGCAAAGTCCTCTCCCATACCAGAAGACACAGACTTGTATCTTCCTGTGACACCAAGGTGTCCAGAAGGGCAGGCCATGCACCAGCTTCCACCCTGCAAGCCAGAGGAGTTTGCATTGGAAAGGACCTTAGAGACCATCTCATGCCGTGATGTTGCAGAGGTCTGGGATGATCTTGTGGATGGCCTGAAGCATCCCTAATCAGCTCCTTGACCAGCCTCCTCACCCTGGAGCAAGGCGAGGAATCCCATCACTGTGCTGGCTGTAGACCTCTCCTAGCTTCTCCCCTGAGGGTCTGAACTGCACCCGAAGGCAGAGTGAAGAGCTGATGGCGAAGAACAAGTATGATGTTGCTTTTCCCAGAGCAGATTGAGCACATGGAATAGTGGTGCTACACCTGGGCACCTCTGCCCAGACCAAGAAGGCACCACCAGAGGCTTAGGGGTACAGCCCCCACACTGTTGCTCACCTCAGGATCTGGAAATTATTTTGCAGATTCAGCTTGGAGATGAGGGACCTCATCAGGATGCAGAGCACAAGGCTGACTATATCCCAGAAGCAGGGGGCTGAAGCTGGGCTGTGGACCTCAAATGAGATCCCACCCCCTAATTTTCCTCCCCAAGGAACATTCCCAGGAGAGAGGGGGTACAAGGGGTGCTGATGCCCTATGGCTCTGCCCAGAGCAGGGGGAACAACATGTCCCAGGAGCATGTGATGGGCCACTAGGAAAGCACATGTGATGGGCCACTAGGCGAGCACAGGTGGCCAGCAGCCCCCACAGCCCAATGCCACACATCCCTGTGCCTGGAATGGGGGCAACAGAGGAGGTCCCAGTCTTTTTTGGAAGGGCACCAGAGAAGGTCCTGGTCCTTCACAAGGGGAACACCAGAGGAGATCCCAATTCTTGCCGGGATAGGCATTGGGGGAAGTCCTGGTCGTTTCCACGGGTACACCAGAGGAAATCTGAAATCCCCGTTCTTCCCGAAGGGAGAACCTTTCTGGCGAGCCTGCCTCTGCCCTGGAGACGGCAGCAGCGAGTCGCGGCTGCAGGGCCAGCACCGCTCCGGCTCCACCCTCCGTTGTCCCCGGCAGATTTTGGGACGTGCTTGAAGCCTCTGTCCCACCGTGGGACAAAGCCCTGATGTCACCTGTGGGAGAGGGAAGACAAAGGGCTGACAGGAACAAGCGAGCTGGCTTCCACGATGGAGGATGGTCTCCATGGGGGTGGGGAGGGAGCAGGAGTAGCTTCCTCTAATTCCACAGCATCTCTGGGGGCTCCAGCCAAGGGGGTGCTGAGCCCCTGCACAGGCTGGTTTGCAGGATGAGCCCTCTGGTGCATACATGCACACGTGTGTGTAGGCACGTGTGTAAGTGCACACGGGCATGTATGCTTGCATGCAGCACACACATCAGTGTGCCTGTATTTTCAGTGTGCGCAGGCGTGTGTCGGTGCCTGTGGGCATACTGTGAGTATACATGGGCATAGCTGTAAGTGCGTGCACGCGTATGAGTGTGCCTGGACACAGCTGTCAGCATCTGAATACACACGTGTGAGTGCACATAGTCGTGTGTGACAGAACATGGCCGTGTGTAACAAAACACAGCTGTGTATGCACATCTGCCTGCGTGAGCGTGTACAGATACGGGTGTCAGTGCTTGTAAGCACGTGTGTAGCTGCATGCAGGTGTGTACAAATGCACAGCCACGCGTGCATACATGCACACACCAGTGAATGTGCATACATGCACACACGCGAGAATGCGCTCATGCCACGCGTGTCAGTGAGTGTATGTGAGCAACCGTGCACGTGTGCGCACCCACGCCCAGCGGCCAGAAACCCTCCACGCGTGAGCGCGCCTGGCCAAGGTCACGCGTGTGCGCGCAGCATCTGTGTCAGCGGCGGCTGGCGGCGAGCCGGGGGGCGCGGGGCCAGGCCTTGGCCGGGGCAGCAGCGGGAGGAGGAGGAGGAGGAGAAGGAGGAGGAGGGAAGTGCGGCTCAGACAGCGCGGCGCCAGCAAACACCTGCAAACAGCTCCGGGCACACAATGGCAAATACAGGTGGGAACCGCCGCCTCCGTCAGCGCCGCGATTGCATCAGACTCCGGCGCTTGCCAAGAGGCGAACGAGCCGGATCACGGGCCACCGGGGCCGCGCTCTACCTTCACCGCTCCCCCCCCCCCCGCGGTGTTAGTTTTTGCCCTCCTCGCCCTCTTTTCTGCACCCCTGCAGTGTAGCTGGGGTGGTAAAAGTAACGCCGGGCTTACTCGGCCAGGAGTATTTTTCTCGTTCCAGCTGTTCTCCCCGAGGTATATCTCGGTCCCTGCGGCTATTTTTAGCTGCGTTTTCCCCGTTTTCTTTACTTTTTTTTTTTTTTTTTTTTTTTTTTTTTTAATCAGGGTTTTCCAGGAAAGCATCGGCATCCCACAACAGCCAAGATAAATCTGCTGCATGGGGTAAATCTTCTCCCTGAGGTAAATCCCATTAACCCCCCGAGGTAAATCCTAGTCCCCGCAGTTATTTTTACTTGTGGGGGGGGTTTCCTTTTTTTTTTTTTTTTTTTTTTTTTTTAAGAGGCGTCTCGAAAGCACTGGCATCTGACAGCCCAGTCCAGGGAGCCAGTGGGGTCTGAACAAGGCTTGTGCCAGAGTCTGGGAATGTCGGGGTGGCTGTTCCAGGCAAGGCGCCGGGATCCATCCACTACGGGGGAGGAGGTTACGGCCCTGGGAGGCTCCTCGGGAGCTAGAGCCGAACCTAGACCCTGCCGAGCCCTGACAATCCCCTGCCCTGATCCCTGAGAGGGGACAGGGGCAGGGGCCACCTCCACTCCCCGGGAGCTGCAGTCCCCCTTAACCTCCCCAGTGTCGTTTCCATCCAAAAAGCCCCAGCAGCACAGGTTTCTCCCACCCCATCAGTGCCTAGCCCTACTTCTCCAAGTAACCCCAGCCCCAAAGTAGACTCATTAATGCTCCCACGAGTGCAGGATTTCCACCACCATAATCTCTGATGAGGGACCCATTAGGATCTGGGATGGAATACTCACACTGCAAGAAGCTCCACCTTCCAGGTACGAGATTCATCCCTGTCCCCTGGCTCATGCCAAGGATGCTTTTCCCACTTAAATCCCTTTGGCACATCGGCACTGGCACAGCTGGAGGACCATGACACTGGGGTGAATGTGGGGACATTCACCCCTAACCCACCCTTTGCCTTTTCCTCCAGAGCCAAAAGCCAGTGGACATGGCAAAAGCTTATTTTTAGCTGTGAGCATAACAGCAGCTCTGTTCCCAGATGCAGTGGTTTCTGGATGGACACCTTCACTTGCCTCTCTCCATGCCCAGGCAGCCCATGTCATGGCATCCTACCTCCCAGAGGTGCCAGAGGATACTCTGACCTGGCCTGGGGAGCCTGGGGACATCAAGCTGGGAGGAGGGAGGAAAGTTCCCAGGGGCTGGTGATCCAGTTGGACCAGGTGGTGCTTTTTGGAAGCTCCATGTGCTGCTTTTCTCTATGGTAATGCCCGTGGAGCGTTTGGCAGGTGCCAGCTGCACCTCAAGCTCCTGTTCTCTGTCATTGGGATAGAGGCTGAAGCCAGTGTGTGTGGGTGAAGCTTTGCATCACTCTGTGCTCCGAAACCCTCGTGTCTTCTCTGTCCTCTGCTTCCCATGATGCAGCCCTTAGCCCAGCACCCCTGGATGCTGGAGCACCCTGGGGACACCCCAATGCCATGGGGCAGGATCCACATCATGCCTGGCTAAGCCCACGGCAGCAAAACCAGAGCCCAGCACAGGGAATAAAGATGATGGTGCTACAGGTGGGGGTGAAGTCAATTTAACTTCATCCTAGGCAGGCCAACACCTTCCCCAGGGAACATGATCTGGCTCCACAGCTGAGCCAGCCCGGGGTCACATCTGTTCTGCTCCTGGGCCAAAGGGAAACCACAGCATTACCCAAGGGGAGGGAAAAGCATTTTTGCTCCCAACACCTCTTCCCTGCAGTGTTGACCCCGAGGAGATCAGGCCAAGCAGGGGCTGCTCTCTCAATACTACCTGGGGCAGCAAAAGCAGTCCAGAAACTCCTGGGGTATATCCTGGGGGAGCAGCATCACCCCTCCTAGCCCAGTAGAAGCTCAAATCCAGCATCAGGGCACCTATCAGCCCATTTTCACACAGCTAGAAGTGGAAAAAAATCATATTTTTCCCTCCTTCCCTGGACTCCAGCTACACCTCTAGATGGTCCCCGGGGCTCAGCACCTTCTTCACTCCTTCCCTATCAGATAAGCACGGCAGCACACAAAATAGCTGGCAGCCACCTCGGCCAGGAGCCGGCAGCCCAGGGTTAATTCCTCCCATACCTGAGCTGACATTTCAACACTATTACACAATTATGGAGATTCTTACAGTAACCCTAGAAGCTCCCATCAAAGTTTGGGAGGCTCTCACCCCCCCAGGGGGTTTTCCCACCCAGAGGTGCACCCCAGCTCCCTACCACCCTAGCGATGAAGAAGAAAAAGCAATCAAAATGATCTGATTTTTATTATGCAAAAATGATAACTTTTATAAAAAGTTTATAAAGCAAGTACAAGGCATATTTGCAGAAAACCACCTTCCTGCACAAAAGGTACAAAAAGTTATACTCTAGTATAGAGCTCCACAATACACGAGGCCACAGCCCCAGAGAGTTTAGTTCATACTCGAGGATGTTTGTTCCCCCCTCCCCAAAGCCCCCTAATCCGCACCCCACCATCCCATTAAACACCTTTAAAAAAAAGGACTTGCTGCTATAATCCAAAAATATACAGACAACCTCCGCTTCATCATCAGTCTGTCATTAAAAATATCTCATGTGAATTCGGGTCCCAAGCTGGGATGCTGAGCTCCGTGGGTGGGATGCTGGCGGTCGATGGCTGGGGGGGTCGGAACCAGCCGCTCCCCACTCTGGCGGTGCCCGGGCCCGGGGGAGGCAAGGCCGGGGCCGGTAGGTCGCAGACAGCCCGGCGCCACGGAGGAAGCTGCTATTTACCTCCGGCTGATAACGAACCAGGAACCGACACTCGCTGCCTGTTTGCTAATTGGCACCGGGAGGTGAGAGAACAGAGGGGGAGGGAGGAAAAAAAAAATAATAGCGGTAATTAGTGCGGTGGTAAGTGGAGCTGGGGATGGAAATTTGGGAAGAGGGGATGGGAGCCAGGAAACCCAAGTTCGTCGGGGACTGTGTCTGGCTCCTGCCTGGGGATGGGTTGGTGCTGGTTGGGGAATGGGGTTCAGGCGGGAGACTTGGGGGGGATTGCAGAAAGGGGGAGCACTGGTCTGCTCTAGTTATTTGGACCGGTGTCGGAGGTGGGCTGGGGAGGTCGACTGGGGTGCGGGTGGTGAAAAATTGGGACGCAAGGGGAAATTAGGGAAAGGGAAGCATGGGTTGCTGGGGATCGGTCCCCTGGGGATTTTGATGCTGGGGGGCGGGAGGGGGCCCCGGGACGCCACCTGGGGTGTGGGCATATGATGAGGACTGGGCTGCGGTGGTGATTGGAGGCGACACTCACCTGGTGTAGGTGGCGTTAGTGACACAAACTTCTCTCGTCTTTGGTGCGGAGTTCTGAGGCGAGCTCAGCCGCCTGCGGAGAGAAGGGACAGGGCTTAAGATCACCCCGGCGGCTGGTGGTCCCCACTCCTCCCCATTCCCCACCGTGCCATGGACCACCAACACACTCGGGGACCCAGCAGCACCCCCGTCCCGACTTGTGATCACCTCCAACCTAACAGATCCTCTCTCCCCAAAGCGACATACCTAGCCCCCAGTCCGAAGCGACCCTTACCTTAAGGGAAAGTAGAGTGGCCTCGGAGGAGGGGTCGCGGCCCTTGGACCCCTCCTCCAGCACGATCTGGAGGTCGAAGATGTAGTCTATGACGTGCTGCAGGATCTCCACCTGGCTCACCTTGGTGCCTTGAGGGATGCCCGGCACCAGCTCCCGCAATTTGGAATAGCAGTCATTCATATCGTAGAGCAAGTTCATGGGCTCTTCCAATGCCGGGCTCTTGTTGTGGCTGCCCCGGGCAATGGCTAAACTCTGCTCTGAGAGGCAGCAAACGGCCTCGTAACAGCTCCGGACGGAGCGCACCGGGCTGATGGCTTTCATGGTGGGCTTGGAGCAGCACTGGAGATGCAGGACGGGAGGATGCCCGGGAGCCTCAGGGGCTGTAGCGGCAGCGGGAGTTTTGCTGGGACCTTCGAGCACCAGACCGCCAAGGAGGGCAGCTCCGAGACTTGACTCTCAACCTCTGGACCCCCACTTTCGTATTTCGCTGGCAGATCGGACAGGGCAGGAAAAAGAGGGAAGCGCCCGCGCCGCCTTTATATAGGCAGCGCCACTTGACCGCGCCCACTACATGTAAATTACGAACAACACAACCCCCTTTTATGTAAAATAACCATTAATCTCTTCCCTTTTATGTAAACGAAGCCCTAAACCCCGCCTCCGAGTGTCAATGAAGCATCAAACTCCACCCCTACACATAAATGAAGTCTTAAACCCCTCTGCCTCACACCCCCCCCCCCCCCCCCCCCCCCCCCCCCCCAAGCCCCCCAGACTGACCCTTGATGGCCCGACGGGGATGACACGACCACGCAGGTCCCCCTCCCCATGGCCAGACCCCCAAACCTCTTGGGGATTATCCCCCCCTAACCCCTTCAACACCCAAGCACCCCCAAACTGTCCCACTCCCCTTCCCAGTGAATTCCCCCTATTTTTAGACAGGACGATGGGGTTTCCCACCTCCCACCCTCCCTGTTTTAAGGAAATTAGTGCCGCCCTTTTCCTCAATCCGCTTCTCATCTGACCTCCAGACTTTCTGGCGTCAGGAATTATCTTGTGACCAGCAGAAAAAAATTAATTGCGGTAAAACTGAGGTTACGATGGAGAAACCAGATTTAGGTCAGCGCCTGCAAGAGGCCTGGAAGGTTTTTTATTTTGGAGGTGGGAGAGGAGATTTATAGGCAAAGGGGCTATCCCAGCAGGAGTGGTTGGTGCGGGGAGGGGGGGGGGCGCGGGATGTGAAGGAAACTGCACTTCTGAACCATCGCTGCCTTAAAACTTACAGAATCAGAGAATGTCCATAGAAAAAGCCCAAAGCTGGAGCGATCTGGGGTCCCCAGTGGGTGTCACTGCAGCGGATGGCACATGGAGGGGTCCCGCAACTGCGACAGCCCCGCAACACCCCGACAGTGAATCAGGGTGAGCCCAAGGGGAAAATCCTCTCTCTCCCCCAAATACTGACTTCAGTGGGATTTAGTTATGGGGGGTGTTGTGGGGGTTTGGTTATGAAAGTGCAGGAAGGGAATGTTACAGCCAAGAGGGCTGGAGGGAGGCACTCTGGGACCCTGCTTGGCCCAGGGGTCCCAGCTAATGAGGGGGGCAGGGGTGAGGGTACAGGCACCTGGACCAAATTACTCCTGCCCACGGCACCGATCTTTTCTAAATCTGCCCAAATCCCAGTTTGGTAGTGCTGGGGTTTATTTCCAACCCCCAAAGGGGTCTGGGGACTGCAGGCTGGAGGGCACCCCTCCTCCCCACATCTCCCCAGCCATGAGCTGCTCAACAAAAAAACCTTGAAAGCAGCATCCAACACTCTTTGTGGCTGGATTATTTTTGTACTTTTTATTTTTCTCTCCACCCCCACCCTGAACCCCCCACCTCACTCGTTATGAATTTCATGGGAAGTCATGTCTGTGTAAAGGATAGCACCTTGGGAAGATGCATAATTCCCCTCATTAACCAATCCACCCCGCCAAAAAAAAAAAAAATCCGAACAAAATAAAGTTAAAAAAAAATTAAACATCTTTTAAAAATAAATTATAAGTGTAAAACTTAATGAAATTAACACAGATTTTAAAAATGTTTACAAAACATTTAGAAACTCTTTTTCAGACCACCACCTGAATCCTTCTTATGACTTCCACTCAATACAAAACAGCAGCGTACAGCCTCTGCTTATTCCCATACACCCCCTCTCATTTCCCAAGGGACGGCGGGGGGCGGGGGGGGGGGGGGCTGAAAGGCTTCAGAGGGACTGGGGGGGGGGGTTTTGTTTGCAGGGGGGTTTTGTTGGCCGGGGTTCCCACAGGCCCTGCCTGGGGCGCTGAAAGGCTTCAGAGGGACTGGGAGGGGAGCTTTTGTTTGCAGGGGGGGGGGGGGGGGGGGGGGGGGGGGGGGGGGGGGCGCTGAAAGGCTTCAGAGGGACTGGGAGGGGAGCTTTTGTTTGCAGGGGGGTTTTGTTGGCCGCGGTTCCCACAGGCCCTGCCTGGGCGGCGGGACCCGCTGCCTTTGCCCAGCTGTGGCCCGGGCCCTCCAGCTGTGTTGATCTAACTCCCGGCCCCAGACAGCCTGGCGCCAGCCCTGCGCACGTCATGCATTCACAGAGGGATGCGTGGCCAAGGCAACCTCGCCCCCCCCGGCCCCCCCCCGCGCCGCCACGGCCGCGCTGCCGCCGTGTTCCAAGGGGATTCATTCCAATCCTGGGATACCCCGAGTGTGTGAGAGGGCTGGGAGCACAAGAGCGTTTTTATCCGATCTCCCCAAGTTTGTGTCACGACCCCTCGTTTCCCTGGATGGGTTGCTTCACTTTTGGCCGGGGGGCAAAGGGGCACTTTTAGGGTGCCGTTGCAGTGGCAGCTCCGGGTTTGGGGTGTCCTCATGCAGTGGCTGCAGGAGGAGTGGATTTCTTGGCGTGGAGGAGAGAAAATGGGGGAGGAAGGGAGTGGGAATGCTCTGGAGCATGATGATTTCATGGTGAAAGGGCCCACACTGGGTGTTTTATTAAAATGAAAA